TCCCCCCCCCCCCCCCATTATTTTTATGTTTGGCAGACGCAAAGGGATGCGCTGGCTGTTTGCAAAATGACTTATTTCATGTTGTGGGTGAGGCATTGATGGTAAATTGCATGAGGAGGCAGCTTCAAAATAGTTCATTTTCAAAGAAAAGGCAAAGTTTCCCATGCCGAGGTGGTGATGGGCTCTTACTCAGCCATCTGCACAACCAGAGTGGGGAAATAGCCCCTTTCCTACCCATTTTTCAGTCTGAGCAGGATCATACCTTTCCTGGTGGGCGGTTGCCAGACCAGGAGCGTTTCACAAACCAACACATCAGCCGTGTCCTGAGATGAAGCTGTGTCCTGGGGAGTCAGCAGATGGGGGTGGAGTCGAGGGGGAAACCAAACTCCAGGAACAAGCAGACTCCAGACCAAAACCCCTCCCTGGTTAGACGGGCTTCAGACCGTTTCTCAACCCAAAGCCCATCGCAAAGGTCCAGCCTTGGCAGGGTGCGAATGGTTTTGGGGAGCACTGATTTCCATCCTATGGGAAGCCAAGTGGTTGGAGAAATCCCTATCTCACCACAGCGACTGCCAGGAGAGCCAGGTATTGGAGAGTTCTGCCTCCTGTGAGACCCCTAAAAATGCTGGATTTGTGCTTTTTTTTCCCCCCCCCAGATCCAGCCACCTCCCGCTCTTCGTCCAGATGAGCCCCCTGCGCTCGGACTGGAGCTACGCTGGGCTGAAGGGGCTCATTCCCTCCGTGCTGCACTACAGCCTCTTGGGCTACAACTTCTTCATCCCTGACGCAGTAGGTAATAATTTATTTTTATGCTTGCTTTGTTTGGGGTTTTTTTCATTATTTCTGGCCTTTCTGCAGAGATTTTTGCAGCAGTTGCTCAGGTGAGAGGAGCGGGGGGGGGTATGGGTGCACCTTGTGTGAGGGTGTGAAGCACTTTGCTCCCCATGCCCAATTTTCCACTTGCCCCAGATCCAGCCACCTCCCGCTCTTTGTCCAGATGAGCCCCCTGCGCTCGGACTGGAGCTACGCTGGGCTGAAGGGGCTCATTCCCTCCGTGCTGCACTACAGCCTCTTGGGCTACAACTTCTTCATCCCTGACGCAGTAGGTAATCATTTATTTTTATGCTTGCTTTGTTTGGGGTTTTTTTCATTATTTCTGGCCTTTCTGCAGAGATTTTTGCAGCAGTTGCTCAGCTGAGAGGAGGGGGGGGGGGTATGGGTGCACCTTGTGTGAGGGTGTGAAGCACTTTGCTCCCCATGCCCAATTTTCCACTTGTGCTGACTTGACTGGATTGAATGTTACTAGGGGATCAGCCGAGGAATTGAGAACAAAAGCCCCATGTTTTAAATTTTGATATGCAGCCAGGTCCCTGGGGATGCCCTTCATAGGGCAGCCCCCACCTCCTGCAGCTCTGCCTGGGCTAAAACCCACCTGGGAAAGGCAAGGAGGGGGCCCCCAGCCATGAGACAGTGGGTCTGGGCTCCTGGCTGGGAAATAGATGTTCCTGAAACACCAGCATCCCTGCTCTGAGTTTGTGTTTCTGCTCAAAGCACAATGGCTTCAGAAATCCTTAAATAAAAACAATATCAGAGTTGAAGAACAATCGTTTAATGGGGGCCAAGCACCTCATTTTTTCCCCCCTTCTTGGAGGCATCAGGGTTATTTGTGTTTCAAACATGCCCCACGCAGGCAGCGGCTGCAGGGGAAGTGTCAGACCCACAGACCAGAGCTGCAAAGAGCCCTGAAAAAGGGGGTTGTTGAGCAAGTTTTTGATCTGGCCTCTACTTTTAGCCAGTTTTCCTTAGAAAACAAGGCTTAGGCAATCACAGCCGGCCGGTTCCCTCCCTGGGGAGATGCTGAACCCATGGGCTGGTTTCAGCAGGGCTGGCTGTGGGATGTGCTGCTGGGACGTGTGGTCCATGGGGTTGTGTCACCAAAGCCTGGAGGATTGTGAGGGGAGGGGAAAATGGGGCTTTGTGGATGAATCGGGTGAGCCCTCACCATTGGGGTCTTTTTGTGCCATTTCATAGAATCGTGTAGGTTGGAAGGAACCTTTCAAGATCATTTCTAGGGGAAGCTGTGCCAGATCTTCAGAGCAATGACTCCTGGGGACACTCCAGCCCCAAGAGCTTCATTGCCCTTTCCCTGTCCCATCCCAGCCCCTCCTGTCCTTCCCAAGCCCCGCTGGTGTTTCAGAGGGGAACTGGAATCCCCTTCCACTCCATGTTTCCGATTAATTAGTTACCAGTACTCTGCTTCTCCACCACTTTTCACTGTGAAAGGATCCAAATTACAGGAGTATTTTCCCTGTGATGCTTCATCTTTGCACAGCAAAGTGGCAGGGAAGCCCAGTGTTTTCCCAACACTTCTTTGCAGGAGAGAAATCCCTTTTTGCAATGTTCTGCTAAAATTTGGGAACTCCTGAGCCATCACCCCCAGCAAGGCCAGTCCTAAAATGACCAGAGGTGGATGTCTGATGTTTGCTTGTGGTGCTCAGGGGAGAAAAACATGGGTGGGAGGAATGGAGCTCCTTTTGCAATGGGTACCATGTCCATGCCTGCCTGGAGAGCGGGTCGTTGGGGGTGAGATGTCCCTGAGTCGTTGGGGGTGAGATGTCCCTGAGCATCCTCACGAGGCTCCTTGCCCCCGGCAGGAGGGAGCCTGGCCTGTGACACCCCGGGGGACCCGGAGCTGTACGTGCGGTGGCTGCAGATCGTGACATTCCTCCCCGTGATGGCCTTCAGCACACCCCCCTGGCTCTGCTGCGATGCCTGGGTACGTACCCCATCCCCGCGGGGGAGGACACCATGGCCCTGATGTGACAAACACCCCCAAAAGCCATTATGGTCCCTACTGGAGAAAGCTGAGGCTAAAAACCCCTGTCCTGTTCTTGTTACCCACAAACCCTGCTCTCTGCCCTGGCGACCAGGCTGCTGTAGGATCTCAGCAGTGGCTTTGCTGCAAAATTAATGTGTTTTCATGGCAGCATATGTCAGCAATGTGCAGCCACGGGGCCAGTATCCCCAATGCCCATAGAAACAATGTCAATTGTCACATCTTTCTCTCTCCTTCCCTTTTGCTGCCAGAGTTGTTTAAATATAGTTTGATCAAATGGTTAATATCTACCGTAGAGTGAAGGCTCAGATTCATGTTCAACATCTTTGTATATTTGTATAAGTTGGAGGCATTTTCCCAGGGATGTCACCTTTAGGGCAATAAAGGGGAGAGCAATTCTTAAAATGAGGGGCACAGGGAGGGAAGTGTCATTAAATCTCTTTGCCAGCAGCAGCAGTGTTCACTGCGTTGGTTAGAGCCATCAGCGCCCCAGGTGATGTCACCACCAGCCACGGTCTCCAGCTTCCACACCTAAATGGGAATAAATCCACTCTATCAACCTTGCTTTCACCTTGTTGGCTGCCATACCTTGTCCACTGCAATTCAGTGCTTTCTCTTCCCAAGGAAATATATGGGTTTTGTTCTTCTGTTTTTTTGTGGTTTTTTTCCTGCTCGCTTTGCTGTTTATTGGATGAAGGACTCATGATGGCTCTCTCTTCCTCCCACCCCTGCAGGTCGTGAATCTAACCCGGCAGTGCATACGGAGGCACCGGGACTTCGTGGTGCCCCTCATCCTAAAGCACAGCGAGGAGTGGCTGCGTTTGGGGTACCCCATCTTCCGCCCGGCCTGGTGGCTCAGTCCCACCGACCCAACCGCCTTCACCATAGAGGACGAATTTCTCATTGGGGATGAGGTAGGAAATGCAGAGGCCGAATTCCCTCAAAGGGTAAACTGCGGGCAATAAGGTGCCCCCCACACCCACCCACCCACCTCTTTGCGTCCTCCTGAATACACAGCTCAAAGGTTCCGTGACACCAAAGGGTGGATGGACCATGTTGGTTCCTTCAAGTCTACAATTTATTCAAAATGAAGAGTCATCAAGCCCTTTTTTTTGCCTTTCTTTTTTACTATCAGGGTATTTTTCAGTCCTTTCTGCCAAAAGGAAAGGGTGGATGGACCATGTTGGTTCCTTCAAGTATACAATTTATTCAAAATGAAGAATTATCAAGCCCTTTTTTGCCTTTCTTTTTTACTATCAGGGTATTTTTCAGTCCTTTCTGCCAAAAGGAAAGGCATTGAGCAACCTGGTCTGGTGGGAGGTGTCCCTTGGAACTCAATGGTCTTTAAGCCCCTTCCAACTCTAACCAGTCTATGATTCCATGAAAAGACACCTGCTGATGTCCAACGACTCTAACCATTCTATGATTCTATGAAAAGACACCTGCTGATGTCCAACACTGCTCACTTTTTGCCCTCGTTTTGGGGTGTCAATTCCATTGCTTGGAGCTACAGCCTGGTTCTTCATCCAAGATGAAAAAAAAAAAGGGTCAGGAGGTGTGAAGTCATGGCCTGGCTGAGAGCTCCTAAAACAGGGTAAAATGTGGAGTCTGCTCCATGAACGTGTCAGCATCAGGCATTTCTGATAAAGCATCATGTGAGGCTGGCGAAAAACTTGTCTGGTTTTGTTTTTTAATCCTCCTCCCTTCCAAAAGAGCCTGAGCTCGTGGTTGGAAAGTCCAGACAGGGGAAGTTCTGAGTTCCAGGCTGGTTTTTGGAAGCTGGAAGAATAGAAACACACTCCAAAAATGTCTTTGGTGCAATTTTGAGCATCGTTAATACTAAATTACTGGAAAATACACAGGGTGATTCCGCCCCAGTATGGTCCAAGGCAAGAATAAGTGTTAGGACTCTGGGCTGAACCTTTTGAAGCTCATCCCCCGGTGCAGCTTCTGGGCGGGGAGGGAAGACCTGCTTTAAAATCTGATTTTTCAGGCTATGATTTGTATGCTCATTACTTCCAGATCTCATTAGTCCAGATCTCTTGGCAGCACACATTCAACCTGAATCCAGCCCAATGATGCATCTTTCAAATTAGCAAGAGGGCTCAGAAAACGGGTTTTTATGTCAAATTTTTTTTGCTAGCTACGAAGGGAAGCCAGTATCTCTCTGCTCCCTTTGAGCTGACAGGACAGCACAACCTTGGGTTTGGGACATGGTGGTGTGGGACTGCAGTGGCCGGGGAGCTCCTGGCCCTTTACTGGAGGTCTCAAACCTGGGTTTAATGCTGCACAGCTGAACTCCAGCATCACGAGCGAATTTCCACTGCAGGGCAAGGCAGTTGGAGCTGGGGGCTGTTGAATCCCTCCAGCAAAGTGTGCAAAGGAAACGCAGATTTCTTTTTTTTTTTTTTTTTTTTTTAGTTCAGGTCTTCCAAAAATATGAATGAGTTAGGCTCTAGGGACCACTGCAGGCAGGAGCCATCCCAGCCCCGGTCAAATGAAGGCTGTTGCATCATCTTTTCTTGCTGCACTTCAGGAAATCTTCACCTTACCAACTTTGACCCCTGCAGATTGTGTGGACAGACCCTCTCGTGAGCCTCCTGAGCTCTGGGCTTGCTCGGTCTCCCTCAGCCTTGTGGTTTCTGTGGGACAGCCATTGGTGCCTCCTGCCCAATCCTCCAAGTGCTAAATGGCTTTTCCTTTCTCTCTTTTTTTTTTTTGTGTTTTTTTTTTCCCCACCTCCTCTGCAGGTCCTGGTTGCCCCAATAACAGAGAAAGGGCAGACGTGGAGAGATATCTACCTGCCTGGAGAGGGGCACCTGTGGCTGGACACCAACACCGCCCGCGTCTTTGACGGAGGCACCGTGCTCAGGAATTACTCTGCCAGCCTTGCAGAGGTGCCTGTTTTCATAAAAACCTCCTAAACTCCCCAACCTCCACAGCTTCGGGACAGCTGACCTCCTTCAGAGCAGCCCTGGCCAAACGCCGTCGCTCTTCCTTGAGACTATTTCAGCCTCTTTGCACTTTTCCAAGGACATTTTTTTTTTATTATTATTTCCTCTGGCAGAAACTGTTTGAATCTTTTTATCGTTTGCTGTTACTCTGCAATAGAGGAAATACCACTTTGGTACAAATATGCATCCCTGCAGAACGTCGACCTACGTCCCTCCAGGTTTTCCCCAGTGGAATGTCCGTGTGCGTGTCTCCAGGTGGGCACATCCAGCATCTCCGGATCCCTGACGTCCTGCTCAAAGGTGCTGCCGTGTCCAGAGAGTGGATTTTCCAGAAGGAGGAGATAAACGAACATCGGCTTCTGCTCAGGTGGGATTTTTTGCATTAAAAGAAAAAAAAAAGTCTGTACAGGGAAACCTAAATATATGATATCTCCATTCGTGCTCATGGACATGACTCCTAAGTTCTACCTGCTGCTCTCACCTGCTGCTGCGTGTGCTCCTGGGAGCAAGACTCTGACTCTGAGGGTAACTGGAAAACTGGGTGAATCCCAGGTCTGTGGGAAGTGGGTTTCTGTGGAAGAAAAACAACTCGATCGAGCGAAGGAGCGGCTCTAACAGTGCATGATGTGGATGGACAGGATGGTTGCCCACCTTGGAATAGGAACTCCAGAGCTCAGCAGCCCCCACCCAAACTCCGCCGTCCCCCAGCAGCGCTTTTCACCACTTGCTGAATTCTATTATTTTTTTTTCTTCCAATTATTTCCCGCAGTGCAAGTGGGATCCAGTGCGACCAGTCTTCCTCCATCCAGCCAAAAACACACCCATGGGCAACGCAGGTGTCCCACCTGCTGAACGTGCATTTAGGGAGGTTATATTAGATACTGAGATATGGATTAATGGGACATTAATGTGTTCGTTAACGGGTGATTTCGAAGGCTGGCATTTGAGGTTTGTCTTAGTGGATAAATCACACTCCTTGGGAGCTAAAGTTTCTGCTTCGATTCATTCACTTGGCCTGAAAGGAACCCCCAGGACACGGATCTTGATTTTAGAGGAAACCCCCAAGTCCTGCTGTCTCTGGGCAAGAGGAGACGGAGGGATGACTCTGCCTGGAGAGATTCAACCCCTCCAGATCCCACATGGTGCTGGCATCTTCCTCCAGCTCCTCCCTGAGCTCAGACTCATGGCAGGACCAGCTTTGGCTACTCTTGGCCTCCAGAACAGTGACTTTAACCCAGGTTTAGCCACTGGCTGAAGATTTAAAAAAAACAACAAGAAGCCCATGTTCATTCCTAGTGCATCTTTAAAAAAATAAATAATAACTAACACAACATGATGTAAAAAATATAAGAGGTGGTGGCCTCATTTTTCTGTCTTTGTCCACTTTTGAGCAATATTTTGTGCAGGTGACAGCTCTGTAGGGATTCTGGCAGGACCCTCTTCATCGCTTCAGACAAACGCCTCCCCCCAGCACATTAAACAAGGTCTAGCTTGTGTTTTGTGATTCATCTCCTCTAATCTTTAGGAAATAACAACTTCCAAGCATGGAGGAGAGCTGCAGCAGGGCTGTATGTGGTAAGGAGGGGAGCTGGATCTACTGTGAATGGATCTGTTTCCCTTGGGAATTCCCGTGTGAGAGCTGGCTGCTGGGAACTGCTGGATGCTGCAGGGATGAGCACAGGGATACGGCACTGCAGGTCCTGCCTTCTAACCCCCCCACGTTTTCCAGTGCTGCTGTCAGCTCACTGGCCTTTGCCCTTGAAGGGATTTTGAGCACGGATGGCTCTCACTGAAGTTCAGGTGGTTAAAAGTTGGTATCTTGGCTCCCTTCTAAGTCAGGGAGCAGAAATCGGTGACTTCAGAGCATCTTCTTCCAGGGGTAAAGTGAATGTCCTCCTGACCTTCCCCAGGGCACCACAGTTCCCAGTAACCTCAGAGTGTAAACAGTTCCATGAGACTTGGAGAAGTAACTTTCATAGAGACAAAGATTATTTTAGGACAATTCTACTCTGGTGACCATTTCAGTTGTGTCACAAACACACAGAAAAACCAAGAAAAACACCTTCCGACCCAATAATTCCTGGAGAAAACCCCTGAAATAGATAACCTGTAGCTCAGAAATGAGAAGGCAATTAAAATTTCTCCTAAAACCAAACCCAAATGATTTAAAACTCAATTTCGAGCAGCTGAACTTCCACGTTACAACTGTCACCCCCTTAACAGGAGCCCCCTCTTACAGAGCCGTGTGGTGCTGAGGACAGGGGAGGACATGAGCAGCTTTGTTCTTGGTCCATGAGCTCATCCAACCCCAGAGGCAACAGGGACCGTGTCCCTGGTGTCACACTGGCGGTGGTGATAAAACCTTCCCTTTGCCACAAAGCCAGCTCCTGCATGTGATGGTACTCGCCCTCCACAGGTAGGTCTGGTTTTGGGGTGGCTGTAAACAGTGAAGAATTAATATCAGCCTTTGACTGGGGTATTGCTTCAGTTCTCAGTGACTGGCAAAAATACTACTTATTGCCAATTCTTAATGCCATTTAGATCCCTTTCAATGAAAAAGCTTAATATGTTTTGCGAAGTGTGGATGAAGCTTCCATAATACTTATTTTAAAATGCTTGGCTGAGGTCACGCTGCGGATGGAAACGGGGCAGGTGAGGGAAATGGGGGTTGGTGGGGACCATGTATTTATCTCAATTCATGGGGTCCCCTTTTTCATCCATTTCCCTCAGCCAAGTCTCAAAGAGGGAGAGTCTTCCATTCACCAACAGCTGCTAATAATTATTTCTGATCTTGTTCTTATTAAGAACAAGAAAGAAATCTCCTAAATAGCCGGAAAACCACTAGACCAGGTATCACCTGAGAAAATATTAGCCAAGAGCTTTGGCTTCACAGCCCTCACGATGGGGATGATACGTGACAGGATGATGAGAATATCTTGGTCAAACTGAAACTGGCGTTAGAGATTTGTACCTGTACAGCCTTTGCTGGGGGTTGAATATGATTGAAGTAAATATCTTAATAACAAGAAAACAGAGGGATTTTCATGAGTGTATCTCAAATCCCGGCAGGAGGGAGATATGGGGTTGTCTCTGGTTGGAAAAACAAAGAATGGATTTTCCTGTGCTGAATGTGAAAGAAACTGAGACAAATGTCTGAGAGATCCTGCATGAATTGATGTCTGGGAAAGCTGCCTTCCCCTGGCTTTGGGTGAAGAAGTGAGAAGACACGTCTGTACCTGATGTGGACGTGTGATACACGCACGTCTCCTCCCTTTAAAGTGCCTGTTTTTCTGAAAAGGGTGGTCATCACGAAGGTGGTTTGACCAAGTTGGCTGTGCTGTTTGGCTGGTGCCAGCCCAGACAGCACCCTGGGCTCCCACCTAGCACTGGGGAATCCCAGTTGGGCTATATCATAAAGGCAGTGAGCTTCAGCTGTTCTCAAGCATCCTCTGGAGGCATCTCCCTGTCCCCATCCACCCAGAGCAGGAAGGCTCAGGTGCTGATTAAGCAGCGCAAGTAACTTCTAAGAGACTTTAATGAAATCTATAAGGATCTCCCTGTCTCTTTGTAGCTCCATCTGCCCATCCTGGCTTCATGGGGTAGAAAGGATGGTGGAAATCCCAGTCCTGATTCCAGGATGGTTAACTCTGTCCTTCATGTCAGTGGGAACAGGATGTTCCCTTTGAATTTTATGCAGAGGTTTTAGGCTTTTTTCTTATTTTTGTGCACAGACCACCCTTAAATGACTGAAAAGAACGTGTCCTTTGGTGGTGAGGTGACACAGGAGAAGGACAGTGCCCTCACACAGAGTGGTGGGGATGGGAGGAGAAGGGCAGTGGCTCTTACTGCATCACTCCTCTCGGTTACTGAAAGCTGCTGAATTACACACTCTGAGCCCTGGGGTGGCTCAACCCGTCCCGGATCAATGTGACTCGGACCTGGCAGCGGCACCACCTCACCTTTGCAAAGAGAGCTGAGGGAGAACAGCTAAATCCAACCTCCTCCAGGTATTTCCAACGGGATGGGGACACCTCAGTAGAAGTACGATATTGCATGTCTTCTCAAGAGGACACTGGGATACAATTAACTCCTGTCCTTCAGGAGACCAAGTACAGCGTAGTCGCCAC